CAACCTGTGACTCAATTTTGACAGTCCTAGGCCAATGCTTGAGGCGGAAGAACTCAAAATAGTTGGAATCAACAAGTAGATGGCAAAGAGAGGACCAGACGACAAGGGAATGAAATGGTTATGAAATCAATCACGTGAGTGAAATTGAAGAAGTAGCACAGTCGCTCGTTAAGTGGGCGACTAGCTCTCTTTTTAAGCTGCTTTTAAGAGGATATCTAGGAAAAGAAAAGAAAAAATTAATTGAGTCGTCTTTTTTAAGGCCGACTAATATGCCTCATCAGCTTCAATTAATATTGAGGTATTGACTATTGAACGTGCGACTGAGCCTAATCTTGCTCAAGTTTGATATAATATCATCTTGTTTATTATAAATTAAAAGTTTTTAATACCATTTTGCAAATTTGTCCAAACCTAATTCACTTATTATAATCCAACGGAAGATTTTGTAATAATATCATGTGAAATAAATACTTCGGCCAGTCTGGTATTCATGCGGCGTCAGTGCCGACTTGGTAAATAAATGCCTGCTTCCTGCGGCGCGGGCCCCATCGCTTTCCCCAACCACTTACCGCCATGTGGCCCATACCCGCTCGCTAGCTGAGCGGCTAAAGCTGGAGGAAGAAAAATAAAAATAATAATAATTAATTATTTGGTTGAAATAAATATATTTATCCGAATAAATCCATTGCATTTTTTTAATGCAATAGTAATCTTGATTTATTTTATAAATATTTTTTTGTTAGATTCCTTATTAATTTATATTTGAGATTGTAAATTTTAAAGAAACTATTTAATTGGATTGGCGTTTAATTGGTTTGACTCAGCCTAATAAAACAAATTTTGTTCACATAGGCATTCAATGTTAGACATAATTTATTTGGGATGACTGCGATTTTTTATAAGATGATTATAAAATTTATATTGAGAAAGTAATTTTTTTAGAAGTTGATGTAAAAAAATAATATTTTAATACAAGAATTTCATGAAAATAGTGAAAGTTGTGACCAAATAGAAATTATGATTGTGATCTGAAAAGCAAAGCAGCTTGAAAGCAATCTTAAACGAAGCCTTCGTTCATTTGAGCTTTTAAGATTCTATTACATTTGCCACTCTTATGTAGTGATAACGGTTACATTATAACAAAATTTTTCTTATTTGATTTTTTATTGACTCAAATTCTTGATCTATTTGTTTAGAATTGAATATGGATTACTCAAAATTATTTAGGCTTCAATATAACATGGTAACAAAATCATGTGGCTGACTATTATAAGTTGATCCAGCTTTAGATTAAGTTGCTTTACAAGACATCACACCATGTGTAAAAGCCTATGTATAAGCATTGTAGGTTGCTATTAGGGGCGCCCCTTTTGTAAGCCCAATTGAATGAGGAATAAGAATTCATGTGCTCCCACTCTTCCCTTTCCCTCTGTCTTCCAACAAGCTCAGGATCAGAACGCGAGCTAGCCACGTTTGATGCGCACATAAGCATGAGTGGAGGGAATCCAAGCTCCCGGCAGGTGCCCATGGGTAGGTCATACGTAATTACGATTTGAGTAAAGGAGAGGAGGATTGGGCTAAAGTGACTCACACGGAACGTGCAGATGGGTGAAGGTGGGGTTGTACAGACGTGATAGCAAGAGGAGCAGTTCACACGGCATGGTTCTTGAATCGTGATCGCGCAAGACAACATGTTTAATTCGTGAAAGTCGGAACGAATTGGAGTGGGCTCGTTCGTACGTATAGGAGGTGAGCAAGTAGAATTCCACTCATGTGGACCCATTCGGTAGTGGAGCAGGCAGAAGTGGGTAATTTGTGTGGAGCATGCGGATTAGAGGCGGGTGTGAATGCATGCGAATAGGACATGCTAGATCGCGGACTCGGGTCATACATGATATATAAGCGCTTCACACAATAAGCTACTTAGCGAGGAGGACATTCAGTGGTACCCTTACGACAACAATAATGATGATCCACTCATCTTGGATCTTACACATAAACATACCGGTAGCATGTTTAGACGTTAGGAGGATGGACACGAGCATGGGTGGTGTCGTTCAAAATCTTGTGCACAAGAGCGGGTTGGGTAGTGCATCAGAGGAGGCTAGAAGGGGTTTTGTACATCCAAAGTTGTATTGAGCTCATGTGCAGGTGTTCGCGAGCAGGTAAACAGATCTTTAAGGTGGAGCCTCAGGGTCATTGAAATTGGTGTGTCAGAGCAATATATAAAGAACATCATAGTAGATCATGTATGAGTGCACAAGAAGAGGGCACCGGACTCAGGATTAGATGGGTAGATTGTGCGAAGCCGCCGGTTGGAGTGTGCACAAGTACTTGTGGAAGGCAGGCGAGCTAGAGTGTGCTCGATGCTGGAGCACAAGTGTAGCGTGCGGGACCAAGCAATGCATAAGGCACTAGTGTACGTATCACAAGAGGAAAAGCTACTGGTGCAACCGTTTGTGGTTTAGAACGCATGGGAGCGTGAGTTGGATTTGTGGATTGGAACACACATTAGAGGTTGAGCGCAAGCGGGGTTGGGCTCAGCTTGGTTTGTTTGCTCGTGGAGCTGGTGCAAAAAGCTTGTCGGATCGCTGCAAGTGCTTATTTTTATGAACATGTGGTTCTTTGATATCCATTGTAAACTCTGGATCAATGTGAATATTGTTATAAATCGATCCCATTTTAGATTAGGTTTCTTTGCAATACATCACACCATGTGTAAAAGCCTATAGTTTTTGTTGTAAGGGGTGTCCCTTCTATAAGGCCAAGTGATTAAAGGAATAAGAATTAATATACTCCTACTCTTCTCTCTCACCCTCTCTCTCTTCCAAGAAGCTCAAGAAGAGGCTTCTTCTTCCTCCAGTTTTATAACACTAACAAATCTCCAAAATTCTCCAAGTTTAGGAGTTCTTTCCATCAAACTTCTTTATAATATCTACTATGAACTATAAATTCCATCTATGAACATAATTAATCATTTGATATTTTTAGACGTTCTCATGTATTAATTATCTCAGAATTTGACTATCCAGAATGCATCCGATTCCTCTCATTGAGACAATCATTTCATATATAAACATATACAATTCAGAGAATACATACTCTCTCAATTGATCCATAGCGTTCTTAAATTATTTTTCTAATGCTTAATTTGAGCCCAATTGTATTAAAATCATTTTTTATATTATTAGATTCATCTTATCAAACACCGTTATCTTGATTACACATTAACTAAAAGTAAATTTCATATGAATTTTTTTTGGGCGGAATATTTAGATCAATTAAGACAAATACACACTTATTGAAAATGTTTAACTTCAATATTATCATAAATTGCTCCATAAATTCATCCTTAGTAAATCCATACATTCAAAGCTTGTCAATGGGCTGCCATAACGGTCCACCATTATTTGTTTGAATAAAATAACTTAAAAACTGGGCCCGCATCTTTTCCATCTATCTGGTGGCCACGAGCACATTAGGACTTAGGAGCCATTTGATTTGATGGATTGGGGTTGAAATGTAATTTCATCAAATCCAGATTGCTTGAAAAAGATAGTTGGCTCACATGAGCCATGTGAAATCGCAATCAAATCTCGACTCACGAGAAACTATAAGAGTTTCATTCAAAGCTTGTCACACTAATGGGCTGTTTGGTAGCAAGGATTTTAGGCCGGATTTGAGTGAAATCCAGCCGAACGGTCTAAAATGTAAAATAAAATCCCACGATAAATGAAAGTGGCAGTAGATGAAAAATTCTACCTTTTCATTCTAAATTCCAGATTTTTGAAATCATGTTTTTTTATCAGATTTATGAAATCCGTTGGCTAGAGAGGAAGAATTCTCTCGTTAAATCCGTTCTATAGTCAAACAGTCACACAATATTTAATAAGATTTATCATGAATGTTACTAAACGGTTTTTAGGATTTCCAAAATCCGAATTTAGCAAATTTACGAAATCCAACGTAAATCAAGTCCTAGGTGCTACCAAACAACCCATAAAAAAAAAAAAATGTACAATGCATTACTTCAAGATGTGGAAGTGTCAAGCAGGAGAGGTATAGATTAGCATGTACATGAGCCCTATCAAATTCGGGTCATAGCAAATTCGAGCTATGCTCGTTCAAAAAATAGCTCAAACTCGCCAACTTAGGCCATGAAATGAGCTCAAATTTAGTTCAAACATCCCTTCTCCGACTCTAGCCCTCCACTTGTTGTAAAGACTTTATTTGGAATAACATTTTAGTTAAAATTTTATTGAATTAGAAATTTTAATACTAAAAAGCAATATTTAAAAAATAGTAAAAAAGCTCCCTTAGATAGAATGAAAGTCTCCATAGGATTTTGCATTGCTAAAGAAGATGTAGTGGTAGCTTTGTTTTGCCAAGCATGCTTCATGAAAAGGAAGTCGCACCTGAAGATCATTAAAGAAGAAACAATCTGACTAGTCAACTTGGCTCATTTACACCCTCAAAAAGATTAAAAGAGATAGTAGACATGAGTGTAATTGCAGATATATACTACTATATTTTTATCTATTTATATTTAAAAATAATTTTAATATTTATTTTTATAATACTTTAATAATTAAAATACATCAATATATATATTCACATTTTTTCCTAAAAAATTAGGGGATATATACTCACCTAATTTAATTAAAAGGGTGAATATAAATACTAAAGATTAATTTAATTAGATAAATTATATGTATATAATATTTAATTTTGTATTGGAATATATAATTTAAAAAAATTTAGAATTGTTCTTAAAAGTATTAAATTAAAGATATAATTAGTAAAATATTAATTATCTGTATATTATTTTTATTTTGAAATATATTTAATTATTTTTGAGATCATTCATTAAACTTTTGATGATCATGCCCTATAAATTTTTTTCTTCCAGCCTCTAATTCCGTCCCGCGACTACTATATAATACTTTGGCCTTCGGTGTGCCGTAGTACTTTCATCAAAGCCTGGCTCTTTCTCACTGCAAATCATCCCGTAGAACAGTGAGCGAGAGGACTATCGCCGCTTAGGGCATGGAGGGCTACCCCTATACTACCTACCCAGAATCCGGCGACTCATCGCCCCAATGCCGCGAGATCGATGGCGACACCGCCATCTCCTGGGATGAGACACCGCAGCCCGCCGCCGTCCGCGTGAAGCTCATGTGCAGCTACGGCGGTCGGATCCAGCCCCGTCCCCACGACAATCAGCTCTCCTACTTCGGCGGCGAGACGAAGATTCTCGCCGTCGACCGCTCCATTCGATTCCCAGCTATCATCGCTAAACTCTCTTCGCTGTACGGCGCCAACTCACCCGACGAGATCTGCTTCAAGTATCAGCTCCCCGGTGAGGATCTTGATGCGCTGATCTCCGTTACTAATGACGAGGATCTCGACCACATGATGATTGAGTACGATCGCCTCCATTTATCTTCCGGGAAGCCCGCCGCACGCTTACGTTTATTCCTCTTCCCTGCAAATCCATCAATCAGTTCAGGGAAGGGTGAGCAGAAGGCCGATCGGATGTGGTTTCTTGAGCCGCTGCTTCCGTCGCAGTTGGCGCCGTCTATGGATCATAATCCCTTGCAACTTCCTCCACCTCCGCCTCCTGCGCTAGTTCCTGATTTCTTGTCCGGCATTGTGCCGCCTCCGGTGGTGCTGAAGGCCAAGGAGACGACGCCGGATAGTCTTGTGGTTGATACTTTGGCCAACGATGCCCTTTCGGCCGGATCTGACCTGGCGAAGGAGGAAACGCCGCAGAATGCAGGGGAAACGGTGGTTTCTCCTTCAGCGGAGGTACAGAGGCATATTCAAGAGATCCAAAGGCTACAGATCGCAGAGAACCAGTTCCATCCGCCGGCGAACGTGCAGCGGAACGGCAGCGATGAAACCCTCTCTACGGTTTACCATGGAGAATTCTACGCACCCCGAATTCCAGACAAGGGTCTGCCCCCACCAGCTCCGGCGGCGACATTAGCTCCTAGTACGGCTGCCGCTACACAGATTCCGACTGCCTACTGGGCAGATCAGCGCGGCATCGCCGGCGGAAGGTTCACCTCGTTGGCTGGTGGAGACCAACCGGTGTATCTGATCCCTGCTTCTCACGGCCTGTATCCACCCACTACAGGGCAGGCATATTACACGGCAACGCATCCGCCGCCGCCAGCATTCTCAAGGGTCGTGCCTGCCGATGTCTACCGCGACGTGCCGACTATGTACACTGTAGCTCCCCCTCCCGGAAGGGATGCTGCGCCGGCGAACTCGCCTGCGTCGGGTTATACGACGGGGCAGGTGGCGTATGATAGCATGGGGAGAGCGGTTTTCTACCCAGGCCCCGTCGCCACGTATCAGGCCGTGGCTAACGTGGCACTCACCACGGAATCAAAGATGACGAAGCCTTCTCAGCTTTCGTGAAGCCCTGTCTCGTCTGCCTGAAGTTTACGGTTTTAGCCCTCCTACACTTTCCCGTCGTCTTCCTCATTTCGTCATTTTTTCCCTGTTTTTTAAGCCTGCTAAACGTTTGCCTGCTTTAAGTCACTGGATAAAAATTCTTGCAACCGCACCTATCCTTGGTATTGGACCTTTGATGTAAATATGGATATAGAATTGTGGGTACATGGAGTAAAGTGAGGGATATAATGTGCCAATTTTATTAGTTTATTTCCTTTGATTTGCTACATTTGTAATGTTAGTATTTTTTAAATGCATGTATTTTGAGAATTGGAATTTTTGTTATGGTAAAATTTTAATGCGATTTAATTTTGGGTGAATTTGATAATTGGTTGATTCTTAAATGCATTACAAAATTTTCACCATTTGCTATCGCAAGCTACCATCACGGGCGAAATCAACTTTAATTTTAAGGGTGGACAAATGAATTACAATAAATATTAAATATAAATAATATATATATATATATATATATATATAAAAGAGAGGGTGTAGCATTCATAAGAGACTCTAGAGTTTTTACGTGGAAACTCTTAATACAAGGGAACCATAGGTCCTGACCCTATTTGAATGAATCTACTAATGTTTATAGTCAATTACAAATGAGACCCTTCCTTAAGGGTAGGCTTTGGTTTGATATAGCAATTATGCATCATATAGAGAGCATTACATGGAGGGAATTGGAATAATTAGTATTGACATGCTCATTTAGTCGGCAGGAACATAGTTGGCGGGCGAAGGAAGTCAAAAAGACTATAGTTGGGTGACAGTGGCAGAAGGATCGTAGTCGGCGAGCTATGGAGGTCAGAAAGATCTTTGTTTGGCGACGAAGGTCAGAAGGACTGTAGTCTGGTGATGGAGGTTGGAAAGACAGTAGTCGTCGGGCGACAGTGGTTAGAAAAACTGTAGTCTGGCAACAGAGGTTGGAAAGATTGTAGTTTACAGCTGGGTGGAAGTACAACGTTAGTTGGTGACTGGGTGTAAGTCCAACCATAATTGGAAGTCGGGTGGAAGTTCAGTCTCAATTGGTGGCCGAACAGAAGTCCGACGTCAATCGGTGGCCGGGCAGAAGTCCGACGAAGCTCGGTGGTCCGATGGTGGTCGAGGAGTCTGGTAGCAAGAGTGCTCTAATTTCTCTCTCTTCCTTCTCTCTCTTCTCTTCCTTGCTTTCATCCCCTTTTCATAAGAAATGTGTGCTCTATTTATAATTTTCTAATAGTGGCATGACAAGTAATATATGAGTGAGATCAAAGGTATGTTGGATGGTCGATATTGATCAATTTGATCGTAAATTATTTACTGGGCATTTGAATGTTTTAATGATATTAAAATTTGTTGATCTTGGATTTGTTAGATTCGTCTCGTCGAGCTGATCAATTTGACTATAAGCATGTCACTTTTGGAAACCATTTGGTCATCCAATTTATGATTTGAACCTTCCAAATGCACTTATGCTATTTTATTTGGACTCGTTTCGGTTTGGAATGGGTTGAATTTGGTGTCGTTGGGTTTGTCTTTTCGAGACGTTCAGTTCGACTATAAGTTTGCTAAAATTGAAGTTCAAATGGTCCCAGGTTTAATTTTGGAAGTTTTTTAGCTAGATTTTGCCTCATGATTCGTGTCCATTCAAGATAAATCTTTGATGATATATCAACTTTATTACCTGATCGACACATATACTTACATATTCAATATACTTTTATAAAATTTAAATCAATCAAAACCCAAGCATATATGCACATCAACTCTCTTAAGCAAGTATAATTGCGTACTTCATCGGTATGTTGAATGGTCTTGAAGGTTGTTAGACTTCAATGAGCTAGCCCTAAGGGTTACGATTGCAGGACTTTAAAAAATCCTAAAAAAATCAGTTCATCCATCAAAGATCGTAAAATATGATCACAGGATCGTATAGTATAATGTGTAGAATTTGATCTATTAGTATTGTACGATCACCATTTAGTACTACAAATAGTTCAATTTGCATATTAGTATTGTATGATCATTAGTATGAACATCAGCACGAACTCAATTTGTCAGTTAGTGATGTATGATCATCAGTATGAATGACTAATCATATAGTACGATTAGTTTAACTAAAATATAGTTCATTCGGGATGAAATATGGGATGACCAAATTCATCTATGTTGATCGTATAGTATAATCCAGTTCATACATTACGATCAAAATACTAAAATTCAGCATATTCAATTAATTAACCATGTGATTAAATTAAACATTGTTTTAAACATCGTACATGACGATTAGGTTCATACATTACAAATAAAATGACTTTTCAAGTTCAAATTTTTGCCTAATTTAATGAATGACGGGGTTTCTAATTATAACAGATAATCCAGTACAATGTAGTGTTCGCATTGTACGGTTAGTTACATCTTTTTTTCAGAAAAAATAAATATTTAATTAATTTCTGTAACACCAGATCATACAATATGATGTATAAAAAAATAAAATATTTTACATTATTTTTGCTCTTATTGTATTTGTGTGCATGGTCATTAATTAGGCTTGTATACATCATTACAGGACTTGACTAAAAAAATTAAAAAAAAATAAATGAAAATTATAGACTCATTTGACATAACCTATTCTACCCAATTTTGAGCATTGAATCTCTAAAGAATAGTGCATGGTATACCTAAAATGTTAGTCAACAAATAAATAAATATGCTCTACAAATACTAGGAGAAATAAAGAGGCAATAAATAATATTTGTTATCATCAAAATTATAAATTCGGGAGCCAGAGTTGCAACACACATATCCACCATCAGTTTCATATGAAATAAATAAATTTGTTGTATTAATTACGCAAGTAGAGATAAAAAGTGGCTATCCAAAAAAAATGTTTGTGGTTTAAAGGAGAAAAGGTCGATGCAATTTAGTTGTAATGGATGTGAGCTAAAAGGGTTTAACCGAACTAGAGATATCAAAAAATAACCTAATCTAAACTCGAGTAAAAAATTCCATGTTCATGTTGACACATTAAACAAATGGACCGGGTTTGTGTTAGGAGTTCCGACTCGTTTATTAAATGGGTTGGATTTGAGTTGACTCTAAACATGTTGGATTCGAGTTGACTCACCAACTTGATTTAGACCCAAAATGATATATTTACTTCTTTTTTTTCTTAAATTTTTTATTTGTTGGTATGATTCCTTATTTTTTATTAATTAATTTAATATATTGTTAAAAATATATAGAAATTTTTTTTTAAACATCAAAATGGATTATATAAAAGGTTCGAGTCATTCAGGCTATTAGCAGGTCGGGTCAGAGTCTGCATTTTTGACCCATTTATCAAATAGGTCAAGTTTGGGTTAACTAAATTAAGGTTGGGTCAATTTTGTGTCTAGCCCAATTTCGACCTGTTGACCCATTTTGAAACCCCTAGATCAACTACTTATAAATCCCAGTGTGGGTTGCCATCATGGTAGCTTTTACTTTAATTTTCTTGTCATAGCTGTAGTAGTATAATTTTATTTGATATTAAAACGTTTTCCTTTCACTTTGTGATGATTTGTTAAGAATATGTCTTATATGCTATTAAAAAGTGGATTTATGTATTATAACTTTTTTTAGTAATACCTTTAAATGATTATACTAAATGTTGTAATGCTTATAATTATGATGATATGTGCTTATCATAAATTCTAAAAGAACCCAATAGTTATAATATCTACTACATGAAGTGTGATAACCTTTTTTTTTTGTGATAACCTAAATTCTTAAATATTAAGACGTATTTTAATTTAATGATTAAAATTTCAATATAAATTTCAAAGTTAAGCGTGATTATACATGCGCATTTCTTGAATGGGCGATCTTCTTGAAAGTTACACCAAAGATATAAAACTGTGATGTCATTAGGCTAATGCAGATAATATCTTAATAGTTTAGAGTTTGAGCTGTTAGAAATGACATGAAAGCAATATATCAGCGGAAGATAGAAACTAAGTGCTCTTATTCATCTCGGTGGATGATTCTGGGTGAAGGAAAACTGATGAAGGCATTACTTATCTAAGTGGGGGAGGTTGTGAACTCCCTTATAAAAATAAAGTTAAACTCTTAAACATCAATGCACATTTTAGGATAACAGATGAAATTTTAGTAGAAACTTCTAAGTTAAGCTCGCTTATGCAATAACATTTTAAGGATGAGCGACCTCCTGAAAATTATATAAAAGATATAACGTTGTGATATCATTAGGTCAAATCGGACAAATATCTTAATATATAGAAGTTTGGAGTCATATTTGAACCTAGTTCGAAGCCTGCTCAAGCCCTGCTTGAGGTGTAATTGTACATTGTTCTAATATTGCTCGTATGTTTACAGATTATGTTAGTAGCTTTGTAGAACTTGGTTCAAAAAATTTTTTTGAACCTCCATTTGAATATTGTTATGATCATAATCTGATTAGAAATTAACTTCAATGAATAATCTATGAAATAAAAAAATTAGCTTGAGGAATATTTTTCAAAATAAATTATTATTACTATTATGAGCATAAAAATTAAAAATTTTTTTTTTAAAATTATTCTTAAAATTTTGATCCAATTAAAATAAACTCGTATACACGACACATACTTAAGAATTAAGAAAGCAGAACTCAATGAAAAAAAAAAAGAAAAGAAAAAAAATCTAACATTCCTGAAATCCAACGGCAAGAGGGGTCTCTCTTTGTTCGCTGCCTTTTTTAGCCTTTACCTCGCGCCTCCATATATACGCTACAGGTCGGGAAAGAGCGAAGGTATCGAGAGAGAGAGAAAAAAAAGAAGAAGAAGAAGACAAAGTACAGAGAGAGAGAGAGAGAGAGAGAGTCAGAGAGAGATGGAGGTGGGAGGAAGTTGCAGCGATATCCAGGGGCTTCCGGAAGAGTGCGTGTCGCATGCGATATCGTTTACGTCCCCTCGTGATGCGTGCCGATCAGAGGCGGTCTCGGCAGCGTTTCGGTCGGCAGCGTGCTCTGACAAAGTGTGGAGGAGTTTCCTTCCGGCCGATTACGCTGAGATGCTCGCACGAGCCGTCGATCGGGTGGAATTTGCATCGATGAAGCACCTGTACTTCCGCCTCTGCGACCCGATCCTCATCGACGGCGGAAAGATGGTTTGTTCCTGTCGATTTTTTTTATTAATTTATATTTGATGTAGTTTTTTGTTTTTTTTTTTAAGTAGTGCTGGTGTTTTTTGTTCTCAGGGCTTTTTTGTGGATAGAGACACTGGGGCTAAGTGCTTCATCTTGCCGGCGAGAGAGCTTTGGATTGTGTGGGGAGATACTCCACAATATTGGAGATGGGTTCCTCACCCTGAATCAAGGTAATGAGCTTGTTCTGAATTTTCTCGTCTGCCTCTTTATTTGATTATGATATTTATATGAAATTCTTTTGTTATCGATGAAGTTATGTATAAAATTTCATTTGTTTTCTATACTGGCGTAGAGAAATCATAAATTGACTCCTCCAGTCCCAACTCTTTTTTTTTTTTCAGACAAATTTTGTATGTTGGTAATAGTTTGTCTATTTTTTTTCGGCTTATAGTTACGTTTTGGTTGTTAAAATTTGTCTGTTTTGAGGTTTGTTTGCCTTGATAGTTGATATGCTATTATGAAAGTGTTGGTGGGGGATGCGGAAGAATAATGTGTTTTTCTGGGAGGAAGGCTTCTCCAATCTCCACTCTTGTCTTGAACTTAGAAGAAACTGGTTGACTAGTTTATGGAAATGTAGGAGTTGATGAAAGTCATCATAGTTTTTCTTTTCTAAGTTGGTGGTTTAAATAGTGCGAAACTTGATGGAACTTTGAAGGATTGATTTTTTGGCAATTTTTTAAACTAAGTATCGTATTAATTATAATTAAGCGATTAACCAACATTTTAAAAAAATTTAAAACTCGCCAAAGTCGCATGTTAAACACGGGTGACTTACTTAAAAGGGTTAAGTCGCCCGTTAAACAGGCGACTTACCCACTTCACTTTATCACACCCCCCCCCCCCCCCCCCCCGTAGATTTTTAAAAGAATTATTCAATTTGAAGATTTTTTTAAAAAATATATAATAGAAAAAATTATGATAAGTAATAGATCCAAGCAAAATTTTCTATGACAGTTAATTATAAATTGTAATATTTTGACTTTATGTAACATACATTTATAGTTAATATTAAAAATATAAATTTGTAATCCAAGTTTTAATTATATTTTTCAAAAGATTTTTTTTTTAAATTATATTTTCAAAATAATATTTTAAATATATTTTATGAAAGAAAATTATTTTTCATAATACAAACGTCATAGTGGAGTAATGTGACTGCAAAATCATGTTATTTTTGTATTTTTTTTTAAATTTTTTTTGCTATGTAAATGCTATTATATTTTGTAAAGATATGTTACAAAATTTTTAAAAATAAAATTTTGTATAGGATATCATTATCGATATGTAGTATTCCACAATGTCTGGACGGGAAGCATCGTTTATCCTTATGTATGGCGGACATTTGTCTTTAGATGATAGATATTGACCAACATATACTGGGGGGAGGAATCGACCCTTGTAAGTGTATGCTAAGATTAACTTAGTGCAACTAAAGATTAAGATTATGAAAGTCCTTAAATATGATACGTCGAAGTACATAACAAACTTGGTTTGTCGTCTACCCTTAGGGAATGAGTTCATAGCTTTAGCTGTCGAGGATGATGAGGTATGTCAAATGGTGTTATCGTATGCAATTGGGTAGATACTTTTACTTTATGTAGAGGTGGAAGATATTGTTGCACAAAATTTAGTTGTTGAACAAATAACATCTCAAGTACATGAGACATAATTTTGACGGGTTGACAGAAGGTGGTTCGACCAATCCAAGTCTCGTGCCGCAATGTCATGAGTAATTTTTTTGTTTATGAATTTTTAATGTGTATTACATAAACTATTATTGTCTAAGGAATTTCCTCTTGTTAACAAAATATGATTTATGTGATGGAGTGAACGACAAAGAAGTTTTTGCCGTGACATTCCAGGAACTTCCGAGGTATCATCGGTCAATGTTGATGATGGTTATGAAACAATGAGCAGTGTATCGAGTGATCCTGGTCTTGATTAGGGGTGTAAGTGAGCCGAGCCGGCTCGTGAGCCGGCTCGAACTCGACTCGATAACGAGCTCGTGAGCCGAGCTTATCGAGCCGCGAGCTCAATCTCGAGCTCGGCTCGAGAGCTCACGAGCTAAGCTCGATTGACCAAAGGCGGTAATTCCAAATGAGGAAGGCGACGAGGCGGGATTTCCAGAGGGCGGGATTTCCAAAAATTAAAATGATTAAAGCCGCAATTCCAAAAAAAATGAAAAGAATAATACCATTTCGGTATTTCTTGACATAAAAAATATATATAATGTTAATTTTATTTAATCTAACCAATAGAAAAGCCTGACAGCTGCTCTTATTTTTTTGGGAAGGTGAAAAGCTGCTGCTTCCTTTTGCTTTTTTTAAAATCTCATTAATTATCTCAGCTCATCTCTTATCCCCATAAGAAAAAAATTATATTTTATTTTCAAAGCTCAACGCCTCAACCTTCTTCTCCAATGGCAAGATGACGTGGATGACGCGGACGAGGAAGACGACTCGCTGGAAGGAAGACGACTTGCTCGAAGGTTGTCCGGATTGCCGAGGCTCGCGAGCCGGCTCGAACTCGTTAACGGTGGAACGAGCTCGAGTTCGAGCTCGCTTTCTGACTGACGAGCCGAGCTCGATAGCGTCAAAAATCGACTCGACTCGACTCGTTTACACCCCTAGTCTTGATGATGGTGATGATGACGCGCAATATCATTTGGATTATATAAATGTTGATATGAATCAAGAGATTCATAACATGGTTCAACGTTATTGTTACATGAATGTCGGCACTGCAGAAGGTGTAACTGTAAACAATGAGTTTGTGAAGGCATATGCAACAACTCGTGAGTGGGATGAGGATGTAGCAAATGACAGGGATTATGTTGGTAGCCAAGTTGAGGAAGAATTTTCAATCCCAATAGAATTGATGGAGGATATGTGTTTGGAGGATGTGTTTTAACAAGAAAGAATATCTTCAGTTCGTACCTTGGTCCCTCTCAGAGCCACTTCACAGCTGAGTTCCGACTGCAGATCCATATGATGCTGGGTCGTCCTCCTATCACAATTTTGGTCCCTCTCAGAGCCACTTCACTGCTGAGTTTGACGTCGCCTCCACACCTCAGTTCGTACCTTCCTCCTTGGGATAGCCCCCAGTTACTCAGCAAGATGTTAGTGATCAAGAGCAGCGCCATCTACGTACCAGGCCACTACGAGCACCTCAGCATTTTACTCCATGCATTGATGCGATTCCACATCGACATAAAAGGAGGCATTAGTTTTTTGTATTATGTATCTTTTAGTTGCTTTAGTTAGATTTTGCTGTTTATGTTTCTTATTATGCTACTAAGGAACTACTGTTTTGTATCATGGAATTAAATTTATTATGCTCTTGCATTTACTCTTACATGAAGTTTGATCTAAAAAGCATAATGTTGGATGATCCAAGAACATTTGATTTTTTAAAAAATTGGTAATATTTGATATACATATATATACATATTCTAATTTATTGTTATGAATTAGAGCATATATAACTTCTCATATATGACAAGCTTATTAGAGTAATTAGCAAATATACACTTCACTATAATTATTTTATCTCCATAATAATCCTAGAGTTTTATCCATTATATATATGCTTAATAGAACTCCATTCTAACCCCCCTATTTGATTTCACTATCCCTTTGTCGAGGACTTATATCACACAAGGTTTTAACTTTGTGTAAGGTCTATTTGCATATTAAATTAAGAATGAGGGTATCTAAAACAACATTATACCATTCAAGGATCTGAGATTTAATCTTTGTAAACATGGAATCTAAATATATCAAAAACTTGAAAAATGGATTAAGCCTCATATTATAAATATATATATAGCAAATGCATCTTTTCTTCATAAAACATATTATATAATAATTAATCATAATCCTTTTTAGTTGCAATTTTTTTTTTTTAAATTCACAAAAGTAAGTCGCCCGTTAAACGGGCGACTTACTAGTATTAACATTATCCCGTTATTCATACACATAACGGATAGTTCTCAGCAAGGTAAGTCGCCCATTTAACGGGCGACTTACGTAAGTCGTCCGTTAAATGGGCGACTTTGGAGAGTTTTAAATTTTTTTTAAAACGTTAGTTAATCGCTTAATTATAATTAATACGATACTTTGTTTAAAAAATTTCCCTTTATTTTTTAGTTGGTTTTCGGACATTGTTTTTTCCTATTCCTGGAGAACATTTAGTCCTTGTATTACACAATCTGACACTGTAATTATGTTTCTTTCTCCTTTAACTTGCCACTTTTTGTTCATTCTTAGCCCTTTTATGGATTTGAACTTTTGCCCTTGAAATGCTCATGTTTATTCTTTGACAATGGCAAACCTTGCTCGTAAATCTCTAATGCATTTAATATTTCTCAGTTTTTGGGATACCCAAAAACTTACCAGTTTCCTTTTTCTTGAATCTGTATTCTTAGTTTACTTTGCTAGTTTTTTTTTTTTAATCTTCTAATGTTGATGAACCAATTTATTTTTAGAATATATTCTATTTGGAGAGATTTGAAAAAGAACTATCTTGTTGGAAGTTTATATATGTCTATGTAGTTTTTATGTGTTATCCTAATCTATTATCTGGTTACATTTGAATCATTATAGTCTCATGATATCAAAATTTGTATTTCTTATTGTCTTTTTGGATAAGCTGAAACTTTGCGTTCAACTCAACTAGTTTGAGTTACATATAGTAGACCGAAATCTTAATATTACAAAATTGCTTCCCAGTTCTTGTTATGTTGCAGCATTAACGCTCAATTACCAATTTTTTCAAGCTAAATATGATTAGTATAATCTTTTTATTGAACCCCAGTCTTAGTAGTGTTCCTTGCTAGTAAGGAAATACCTGTCGTTCTGTGCAATGGCAGCAAAGGCACTGGTACAAAATGCCTTGTATTCTTTGTACAAGGTATGAAAGATCTTGCGGCCTTGCGTAGCCCCTCTGAAAATCACTGGTTTGTTGTAAACGTAAATGGAATATAACGAGAGTTTCCAATATTTTTAACTAAAGGGTTTTTTTTAAAAGGTCATAATAAAACTTTTGGCATGTTTTTTAAATAGTTAGCAGCGTTGCCAAAAAAAATGTGTTTAATGCTATAAAGTGGATTTTTTTTCATTTATTTTCTTTGTCTATAAATTGAAATATTTGGATTATCTTTCCATTGATTGTTTTAATAACATGTTGCTGTGCTTGATGCTTTCTGTTGGGCCTGTACTACTAGCTAAATTTGTTGCTTTATGTTGCTTTATTCACATGTGGTTTATTTATAGTAAGCCTTTTTCTCCTTATTGATAAGATAACCCTTACAGTCCTTCATCACTTTAGGAGGAAATAATGCGACTTTTAGCACCAAAGAGATCTAATTAATCTTGCATATCATCAAAGCAGCTTTAGAAATATGGGCCATTTCTGTTCACTTTACATAGGCTAGTATCCAGATATATGTTTACAATATATATATATTGCCCACTCGAATTTATGCAATGCTTACAGTTCTTTCGTTGAAACTGCTCTTGAGTTGCACCTTGCAGATATTTGTAGAAGACCATCCTGACTAGTTTTTGCATGGCTCTTTAGAGTTTGCTTGTTTTCTGCTCAAACTTACCTTTCTAATATCTAAAACTGGTTTTACAAACAAGGACTCGGGTTATTTAGAAGTAATAATTTTCATTTTTTAAACTCTTGAAGCTTCCTTGCAGAAGTTTTCAGTTGTCATTGCGATCTTGTTAAGCCTCTAATTTTATTTTGGAATCTTTGCAAAATTTTTTATAAAACTTTCATGTTTGATATTATGATATACTGTGGTAGCTATTGAATTTTTATATGCGATTGAGAAGAGTGTTATTATGCAAGGTTTTCGGAAGTTGCTGAGCTATTGAATGTCTGTTGGTTGGAGATCCAAGGCAAGATTAACTGTAGGATGCTTTCCAAACGGTCCAACTATTCAGCTTATCTTATATTCAAATTATCAAATAGTGCAAGGGGCTTCAGGTTTCCTTTGCAGGAGGTGTCGGTCACCATAGGAGGAGTCCATGTCTCAAAGTTCTCGGTGCGCTTGATGGAAGAACAAGAATCTTCCAGGCTTCGGCCAATTTTGCGTCGGCCTAGAATTATGTGGAATATCTTACATCATGCGAATTTACCACAAGAGCCCCAAGAAGATTTACGAGAGCCTCTGAATGATCCACCAGTTGAGGCACCAGATGTGCCCGACGACGCCGATGAACCTCAGCATGATCAATTGCCAGATCCAAATGAGCAAGCACGGAGGGATCGTGGAATGGTTCTAAAACCTCAAACAAGGCAGGATGGGTGGATGGAAATTTTGCTGGGGGAGTTCTACAATGAAGAAGGGGATGATGGGGATGTTGCTATGTCATTGTTGGAGATCAAAGGTGGGAACTGGAAGAATGGCCTCATTGTGCAGGGAATCGAGATTAGGCCTAAGAAGTAAGAAATCACATCATGGGAAGCTAGATACTCTTTGCATTATCGTTCATGTTTGGTATTTCACCCGTACAAAATTCTAATAATTTTGAATTGTGCTTTTGATTGTTTTCATTAGATCAGCTTCGCTTTGTTTCAAATTGTTCTGCATAACATTATATATTTACTTAGTAGTGTAACAAAATTATAATATCAAGAAAGTTTTGTTAAATTGTTCCATTATGTGATTGTTGAATTCACAGATGTTTGGGAGATGGGAACAGTTTAATCCCAGTCTCTGACTTCCAAGATTAGTATCTTGATTGCTAAATTTCTTATTCAACCTCTCCTAATAAAGCTTTTCTATTTCTTCCTGGTTGGTTGCTGTTTAATTTGATCCACATTTTATTCACTAGCAATTTGTATTATTTATTTATTTAACCTTAACTTGATTATGGAAATTAAGTGTTTATTGTTTTCTTTTGAATTAGCAAAGCGAGGAGGATAAATTAAGGAGGCAGTTTTAGAGTGAGTGAAAATAGCTGCCTCCTAAATTAGAGTATTTTGAAGTCTCTAATTCGAATGTCATCACTTTTGGAATTACTTTCATCTTCTAAAACATTTAATTTTTTTAATGAAATATATGATCAAAATTAACATAGACAAAGTAAAAGAATCTCATAGTTATCATGTACTAGGATTTGCTATATTTTTTTTAGATTCATATATGATGCAGTGGATATTGCTTAGTTTATCGTCTTGATGTTGATTGGCTTCAACATATCGTGCTTTATTGACGGTTTGCCTTAACGGTACAGTAGTTTCATGCAAGCTATAAATCCCAATGACATATGCCAGAGAGAGTTTGCCTTAACATTACAGTAGTTTCATGCAAGCTATAAATCCCAATGACATATGCCAGAGAGTTTGAATCGAGCTTTATTGACTGTTGGCCTTAACGGTACAGTAATTTCTTCTTTTATGAGTGATTCTTCTAAAGATCTTATAATTTTTTAATCAATGGAGTCGTTCAAAAAGCCTGAAACAATTGGTAATAGAAGATTCTATAAGAAGCATTATCAGGTTCATTGCTGATCCATCATCCATGCATACAAAGCCATAGTGTTTTATTCTACTGATAAAAAGCATCATTGTTTTGTTTACAGTTTCTGAATATTTGGCTATTGAGAGAATATATCTGGAGCTCGATATGAAACCACGATATATTTTGATACTTTATGGATTATTTTGCTGGATTGCAGAAGAAGTTGTGGAGATTCTTGTAAGAGAGAGAAAGATGAAAATGTTGGAATTAGTTTTCCTAGAAGAAGTTACGGAGATTGTTGTAAGAGAGATAAAAGATGAAAATGACGGAAAAGGTCGGTAGTGTTACTAAGGTCTAGAATGATGCTTATACCTCTTTCCTTATTCTAATTATGTCACATTGATTCATATAGGAATTCAATATCATGCAAGAGAATTTCAATTGCAGAATTAGAGCTTCAGAATATATTTCAGACTTCTCAAAATATGATGACTCAATCTCTGCTCAAGAATTCTATTGTTATTCAGGATACTATGTAAGAGGAATGAAATTTTCTTTTATCTTTTTTTCTTTTAGAAGATAATTAGAGAGGCTCAAGTATGCACCCACTAGAAAATAAATTTAGTAGTAAAAAAAAAAGCTTCTAAAAAGGTAGGATAAAGCTATTGATAAAAAAAAGACAATGATGATATGATTTTTTTTTTTTTATTTACCTGTAAGCTTTAAAGTAAAATCTCTTGATCGAAGCCCTAAGCTCCCACCAATAGAGTATAATGAGCTACAAACTTTATATGGGAACAATAGAAAAGATAATGATGATATGAAATCTGTTTGTTGATTTAATATAGGATGAGCTTCTTTGGGTTGTTTCTAAGCTTTTTTAGGCCATAGAGGATAAAAAATATCTCAAATATGTGTGATTTTTAGATTGAATTTACTTAGTGATGACAACTTAAACTTAATTTGTTTAACCATGGTAATTTTATTTTAATATTAGATTATTTTTTAATTTTTGCACAATACTTATTTTTATGATAAATTAAAATTTGAGTTTTTTTATAATATTTATTTAAAAAATTAAATAAAATGATATTATTTATAAATTTTTTATCTTTTTTAAAATTTTATTTGTTTATTCACATACATTTTCTGCGCTTACAAATAAGTATTAATTATTATAATTATTTAAATTAAAAAAAAATTCTTCTTTTTTTTTTGGGAAAATGAGAGTAAAAGCCCATATATTACTATGTAAAAAAAGGTTAAAAGTAAGGTATAACAAAAAAGTTTAAACCTCTAACAAGTGAGGTGAAACCAAAAACCTATACCCCTAATGAAACAAAAGGAAACCAGATATAACAAATAAAATTGGGACAGCCATCCAAAAGAGATGCGAGAGCATCCGAAGGACTCAGACTGATAATCGCATTGACGAGCAGAGAAAACTGGCAACCACGAAAGAAAATCTCCTGGTTGCCCAAAAAAAGGGCCCTTCAAGGAGATGATTAGCAGCTACATCATCGTACTTGAACAAAAATCCACCGATGAAGACAGTCCCCGATTGCAAACAGACAGCCGACCACAGGACTGCATCAATATCATGGACGAGACCAGAGAAAGAGTTCCAGCCAGCCAAGAAGGCAAACCAAATAACCACCCCTCCAACACAGCAGTCCAACCCAACCAAGACAAAATCAGCGAAATTACTATAGTAGCAACAACCCAAAAGAAACCTTCAAACTGCTGTGACAACATTCGAAGTGAATTACCCAAAAACAGAAAATACTACAGTTCCGTCAAACATGCCATGGAATTCTCAGATTTTCTGAGTGCTTCCAGGTTGAAATCTTGGCATCAACAGCAGATTTAATGTCCGAGCAATGAGAGGATGTACTTCTAAATTTAAAATTGAACCTTCTTTCATTCCTTTCCCTCCAAAAATAATAAGTAGCACAACAAGCTGTGAGTAGAAGGAACTCTTTTTGGTTTTTTAACATATGTTTGTGATCTCCCAAAAAATTTAGGACCTGAAGGAGCCTGGGTCTTAAAAGAAAATCTCCCACCATAGGTATCAGATTATGTAAGACAGTGAAGGAATAATCACATTCAAATAGTAAATGGCCGTTGGTCTCAAAATGAGAATAACATAAAGAACAAGTAGAAGGCACCACAATGGTTCTTCTAATAAGCTCCTCCGTCGTTTTAAGCCCATTATTAAGAGCTATCCACGAGTAAATAGAATATTTAAGAGCATGATGTTTATGCCACACAAGATTATACCAATCAACCGTGGCCTCCTCTCTATGGTAAAATTTGATAAAAGAAGAGAAGCAAGGCTTATCCCTTTCATGCCAAAATAAAGTGCCTTTAGACCCATGCTTAAAACTAATGTGCTGAAGTATATGGAAAAGAGCTTCAGGAACTGCTCTCGGCAACAACCAACCATCATCCCTCACAAATTCAGAAATAGTTGCATGGTGTGGGATGAAATTTTCTAAATTATGGTTAGGGAAATCAACCATGATAAGGTGACTCAAAGTGAGGTCGTTGTGGCTTAAACTCGGGTCTAGGTTGAAAAGTAGAGTGGGACACATAATTCGAGTGGGGATAGTCAATAGGTTTTTCCGTCATAATTCTAGTCATATTGCCCACTAGGTTAACGATGTCATCTAAACTCTTTTGGAGTCTTATCGGGTCCATTGGGAAGCGTCAAGTGACACTCAAAGATGATTGGGTGTAAGGGACGTCATTGAGACAACAAGTAGGCTCACTTAAACTCACTAAAGGGTGTGAAGATTGTTTGGACAGCCAGCTACACTAGAGGGTCAAGTAACCTAGGCACTTAGGAAGGTGGCTAGGTTGAGGACAGCACCTAAAAGCTTAAGAAACTAGCCAACAGTTCATTAGATGTGTGCGGAATGATGTGGACAGCAAACTACAGCAAGGCATAGAGTGTGGACAGCAATTAAGTACATTAAATGCTAACCAAAAATCCACTAAATGAGTGCAGGAAAATAGCGGACAGCAATCTCAGCAAAGGTTTATGTAACCTAAGTGTTTTGGGTAGGTCTTACGGTGAGGACAGCACCTAAATAGTGACGATAAGTTTGCTAAATGAAGTCTAACAGTTGCTGGAATGGTGCGGAAAACAGCTACAAACAAAGGTTTAGTTGCTCTAAGCAAATAGTAACAATGTAAGTCAAAAGGCTGCACTCACACTCTCGCTAGGACGACTTAAATGCCAATGTATGGGTGCAGGAAATGCAATTACAGAAGTGAAAAACAGTGAATAAACTTAGCGACGCGATGATATGCATGCAAAAATTAAACTATAATGCAAGGTTAGACCCTAGGATGTTTTTCTAACATGTCCTGCATGCCTACCATGCTCTGATACCAAATGATGTGAAACCATCAAGAATTGCACGTGAAATTTATAAAGATTCACAAAGTATACTAATTTAAAATTAAAATATCGTAAGGTGAGGTTCAAGAATTCTCAATTGTTAAAGTTGTTATGATAAGAAATTACAAACTAGTTGTTTAGACACAATTAATGATAGATCTCCAAAATTATCACAATAAAGCAAATGCGGAAAATAATAGAATCCCACGGCTAATGTCTGGAAAGTTCACAACGAGTTACTTTACTCACTCACACTCAAGTAGGGCTTAGCGGGAGAAGGTCTTTAACAAACTCAACGATGCCACTAAGACGGTAGCAACACCACTGGCCTTGATCCACGGAAAGGTTGACGGTGGCGGAGATGGCGGGGATGGATGACCGTGGATGATCCAGTCGTTGTAATTAAGGGGGAGTAATGAGCATTTAATGGAACCCATCAATAGGGGGGCCGGCGGGTTCACTAGAGGAGGGAGAGGGGGTTTCAATTCAAAACCTGAAATTAATTTCAGGATTTTGAATAGAAAGGGTGGGAAATTAATTTGAAATCAATTTGATTTCAAATTTAGGGGAAGGGGAGTTAAGTAGCAATTAATGGGATTAATTCCCACTAAGGGGCCGGCGGCATGTAAGAGGAAGAGAGAAGGAAATCCAAGAGGAAAGGTTTCCAACTTTAGGACGATGACGTGGAAATAAAAATAAAGACTCCGATTTAATTTAATTTGAAATTGGAATTTATTCAGCAACTTTCCTAAATTGGATTTCCAAATTAGGAAAGAATTTGAAAGTTGAAATTCAAATTTCAAAATCGAAGCATGCGGAGGGAAGGATCGGACGGGTGGGAGAATTCGCTGGCAAAATGGCCGGCCGTGGCCGGCGGCGAGTTTGTTCGGGGGCGTCGGCAACAAAGGCTTGGGTAGGGGCTTTCTTGGGGTGGTAGAGGGAGAAACGGTTGAGGAAAATACGAACTAGGCGATAAAGAAAATAACCACGAGCCGCGAACTCTTCCAACGACTGGTGGGCCTTGCGATTTGCTCCCCTTGAGCTCTCTTCCCTCTCAAGCACTCATGCTAGAAAAGTAGAAACAAAACATCAATTTTCATTTAAATATTCATTAGCTTTTACAAAGCATGAGACCCCTATAAATAGGTCTTAAAACATGAGGAAAACAAAAGTACTCAAATGCCCTTTGGGCTATAAAAAGACAACACTCCCCATAGGGGTGAACTAGGAAATAAAAATGCTAACTAATTAAAACATGAAATAAATATAAAAAAAAACTCTGAATCGTAGCCGTCGATCTGCGCTGTCTCCGGCGATACACATGCTTGAACCTCTGATTGATGTCCACATCAGCTTTATTTGATTTTCCACAAATTATACATCAACCTATAGCATCTATGTATAGGTATTTAGATAGGTGTGATGTCTTGCGGAACTACTTCACCTAAATCTGGACAAATCATAACGATATTCTATTTTTAGAGATTTTAAAAAAGAATTATCTTGTTGAAAGGTTATGCGTGTCAAATTTGTATGTATTATCCTTATCTATTAACATGTTACACTTGAGTCATTATAGTCTCATGATATAAAAAAAGTTGTATTTCTTATTATCTTTTTGGATAAGCTGAAGCTCTACATACAACTCAACTAGCTTGAGTTACATGTAGCATACCCTGATCTTAATATTACATAATTGCTTCCCAGTTCTTGTTATATTGCAGCATTACGGCTCAATCACTAATTTGTTCAAGCTAAATATGATTGGTATAATCTTCTTATAGATACCTCACGTTGAACCATAATCGTAGTAGTTTTTCTTTTTATAGATACCTCATGTAGGGGTGTCAATATTTGACCCGACCTAAAAAATTCAGGTTTGGGTTAGGGATTTCGACCCATTTGTAAAACCGGGTAGGGTTCGGGTTGACCCGAAAACCCAAAATCAACTCGGTTTGATTAGTTTTTAATTAAATTAGGAGGGTTTTAAAATAATGTTATGAATTAAGTAAATGATATTTCTAAAAAAATAATAAACATTGTTGCCCAAATTAAATTAAGCTAGATTTATTTTAAATTGATGAAGTCACTGGATAAAAATTTTTTCCCTGTTTTTTAAGCCTGCTAAACGTTTGCCTGCTTTAAGTCACTGGATAAAAATTCTTGCTACCACACCTATCCTTGTTATTGGACCTTGATGTAAATATGGATATAGAATTGTGGGTACATGGAGTGAAGTGAGGGATATAATGTGCCAATTTTATTAGTTTATTTCCTTTGATTTGCTACATTTGTAATGTTAGCATTTTTTAAATGCATGTATTTTGAGAATTGAAATTTTTGTTATAGTATAATTTTACTGCGATTCAATTTTGGTGAATTTGATAATTGGTTGATTCTTAAATGCATTCCAAAATTTTCACCATTTGCTATCGCAAGCTACCATCACTGATGCCCGCTAATCCAACAACCAACCTAGAGATAAGAACAAGCAAACAAGCAATGGAACAGCAACGAGACACTGAACTCCAGTGCTCTGGTTTTCTATATTTCGAAGAGAGTAAAAATAACATTAACTCCTTCTCTAGTAACTAATTCTCCTATATATCGACAACTCAAAGGAAAATGCTAAAATAAAGAAAAGTAGGGATTGGCTGAATAAAAGTAATGTTGTACTATATAACTAAAAGTAGCAAATGAGACAAAGGGAGCGTATCAGGCCGTTAGTAGTGGAGTTGGGATGAACCGCAGGTTCTCTGTGGTAAACTGTTGCATCAGTCCTCCCCTACTTCTAAAGAGCTCGACTCCGACGAGCTGAACTGAAGAATGCCGTCATCCGGAGGTACATACGGCCAGATATCCGACACGTTAAAAGTCGGAGAAGTGTTGCAATCAGCAGGCAGTGCAACAGTGAAAGCATTGTCGTTGATCTTCGACATGATGGGTAATGGTCCAATTTTCCTGCGTGCCAGTTTAGAGTAAGCTACAGGTGGAAAACACTCTCGGCGTAACCTCACAATCACAAGATCTCCAACGCTGAAGAGACGTTGTCGCCGATGAACATCCGTAGCTGCCTTATACTTTTTATTTGCTTGAATCAGTTGTTGTCGCACATTAGACATCATCTCCTTGAAATTGTTAGTGAAAGTAGCCGCAGCCGCTGACTTACACTTAGGCAAAACAGCAATGTCGAGTACGGTGTTAGGATGTTTAGTATACACAATGCTGAAAGGCGTTTTACCTGTGGATCTATTGATCATAGCATTGTATGCGAATTCGGCTCGGCTGAGAACTTCTTCCCATTGGCGTGGGTGCTCCTGTACCAGACACCGAAGTAAACTTCCCAGCGTTCTGCTGACGACTTCGGTCTGACTGTCCGTTTGTGGATGGTATGCCGAGCTGAGGCGGATGTCTATGCCCAACCGCTTCCACAGTTCTCGCCAAAAGTGGCTGATGAATTTCACGTCTCGATCGGACGTTTGACTTCGGGGTACACCGTGTAGACACACGATTTCATCAAAAAAATGGTGAGCAATCATCACGGCATTAGCGGTCTTTTTACATGAAACAAAATGCACCATCTTGGAGAATCGATCGACAACCACCATGATGGAATCATTGCCCCATTTAGTCCGTGGCAGTCCCAGTACAAAGTCGAGGCTAAGGTATTCCCAAATTGATTCAGGCACAGGAAGAGGTAGATATAGTCTGGTATTCTGAGATCCCCCTTTATAGTTTTGACAAACAGGGCAGATGTCTACTATACGGAACACATCTCGTCGGAGCCTCAGCCAATAGAACCTTGTCTGGAGCTGGCGGAGAGTGTTTTCTCTGCCCACATGAGCTGCCAACGCACCTCCATGAGTTTCTCTGATCAATTGTTGCCGCCAAGATGATACTGGAACACATAGTACATTCTGCTTAAATAAGTAACCGCGACTGATGGAAAAGTCATCAACCGTGGGATTTATTTTGCATTGCTTCCAAATAATGCCAAAGTCAGGATCCTCTTCGTACAGATCCTTTAAACATACTAATCCTGTAATCTCGATTTGCAAAGTTGTCAAGAGATTTCGCTTGCGGCTTAGAGCATCAGCCACCCGATTCTCAATACCAGGTTTGTGTTTAATCGTGAACACAAATCTTTGGAGGAACATTATCCATCTAGAGTGCATTATATTGATGGTTTTTTGACTATTTATGAACTGCAGAGCTTTATTATCACTGCATAGGATGGATTCTTGGTGTAATAAGTATTGTTCCCATTATTTCAAAGCACGAACAATGGCGTATAATTCTTGTTCATAGACGGCCCACTTCTATCGCGAGGGGCACAATTTCTCACTAAAGAAAGCAACCGATCTATTTCCCTGAGATAGTACAGCCCCCACGCCGATGGCCGAAGCATCGGTGCTTACTTCAAACAACTTATGAAAGTTAGGGAGTGCTAAAACTGGTGCTGAACATATGGCCTCCTTGATAGCTTCAGAGCTGTGCTGCTGTACTGCAGACCAACCGAACACCTTAGCCTTTCTTTAATCCTTATGTGATCGGGGCCATAATCATGCTGAAGTTTTTGATGAATTTATGGTAGAAGTTAGCCAATCCATGAAAACTACGAACTTTGAAGAAGGACTGGGGCGTTGGCAATTCCATGATCGCTTCAATCTTCACGGGATCCATAGACATCCCTTCTACTGAGATGACAAAACCGAGAAAGCTGACCTTCTGCACTCCCAGATCACACTTGGAACAGTTGATCAACAGCTTCTGGGTTTGTAGAGTTTCAAAAATTGTTGCCAAATGTTGCAAATGGAGTTGCCATGATACACTAAATACCAAAATGTCATCAAAATATATGATACAGAACTTTCCCAAAAAAGGTTTGAGCACTTCATTCATCATGCGCATGAATGTGGATGGAGCATTACAAAGCCCAAAGAGCATGACCTTCCATTTATAAAGACCTTGGGGTGTTTTAAAGGCCGTTTTCCATTCGTCTCCGGGGCGAATCCGGATTTGATGATACCCGCTTCTCAAATCCAACTTGGAGAAAATTGAAGCTCCGGTCAGTTGATCTATTAGCTCCTCAATGCGTGGTATCGGGAAGCGGTACTTAATGGTTATCTTGTTGATAGCTCTACTGTCTACACACATTTGCCAGTTTCCATCCTTCTTTGGGACTAATAAGGCAGGCACTGCGCATGGACTGACACTCGGCTGGATTAACTGCTTGTCGAGGAGCTGATCTACGAGTTCTTGCAGGACTTTTTGTTCCTTCGGATTGAGGCGATAGTGAGGTAGACTCGGTAGACTAGCGCCCGGTACCAAGTCTATTTGATGCTGTATATTTCGAAGCGATGGAAGTTCAGCCGGTAAATCATCTGGGGAAATAGCCTTAAACTGATCCAATAGCCTCACTATTTCTTCATGCTTACTACCTTGGCTTGCTGTACCATTGAGTTCTGCTACTACCAATGCGAACATTGGTTCTTCCTCACGCCACAATTGTAGGAGTTTGGCACCACTGACTACATGCATTGCAGCACCTTTGGAAGTATCACCCTTAGTAGGATTCTTCTCTACAGAACTAGGTAGTAACCTCAGTCTTCGCCCCTTCCACTCGAGTGAATAACAGTTGGCACGGCCGTCGTACATGGCGCCGGCATCGAACTGCCACGGCCTTCCCAGTATCAGGTGGCACACGTCGATCTCGACAACATCACATACCACCTCACACATGTACTGTTTCCCTATAGAAAATGTGACATGGCACGATTCAGACACTGAAATTTCGATTCCTTGCTTTACCCAGCTGATCTTGTAGGGATTAGGATTTTTGGAGGTCTTCAGTTGTAAGTTTTGAACGACTGAGTGGGAAATCACGTTCTCTGTGCATCCTCTGTCTACTAGAAGGTCACACACCTTTCCATTGATTGTGCAACGTGTCTGAAACAGGGCGTGCCGCTGAGAGTTTAAATTTTGTCTTGGAGCCAAAAGTAGTCTTTCTAGCACAACAATTATTGGTTCCCCTTCGTCAGCATAGACGTCTTCGGCTTCCTCTTCGTCAGTTGATTCAACTGCCCGGGATCCGCTTCCCTCCTCTGCTTCTGCCAACTGCACTTGTTGTCTTTGGGGACATTTGTTCGACTTGTGTCCTTGCTGAAAACAACGAAAACATTTAATTGTGGAGGGTTTAATGTAAGGATTTTCTTTACCTTGAATCCTTAACTTTGGTTGGCTCTTGATGCCTGGAGAAGCGTTAGGGCCACTCGAACTCACGGCCGGAGATCCTGCATTCGTTACTTGTTTGGCAGCAGGGGATGTTGTCTTGTTATGTCCCAACTGTGACTCCTGCCAGTGTCTGCGATTATAAGAGGACTTGTAAGAACGGCTTTGCTGCATTTCCGCCTTCATGGAGAAATTAACCGCCTGCGATATGGACCAAACTGAGTTTAACTCTAGTTTATCTTGAATGTTGTCTTTAAGACCCCCAATATACTGGCGACTAACCGATTATTTGATTCATTCAGATTATTTCTTGCACTCAACCGATTAAATTCTTCCGTATATTCGCTGACTGATCTGGCCCCTTGCGAGCAATGCTGGCATCGCATATAAAGAATTTATTCATAATCAGTTGGCAAGAATTGAGAACGGAGCAGTTGCTTCAATCGGCCCCCAGCTTCTCACCGGACCTTTACCTTCTAGTAATCGCATCTGTGTTACCTGCGCCCACCATGCGCTGGCTCCCCCTTTCAATCTACACGCTACATACTTCACGTGTTTGGCCGGATCGATATCCATATAATCGAAAAAATTTTCTACGGCCTTTACCCAATCGAGGTAGTCCTCGATGTGTAAGTGACCATCAAAGAAAGGAATATCTAGTTTAACCTTGAATTCACTGTGGTGAGCGGCTCTCGGTCGCTGTTGCCCATAAGCATTATGTAAGTAATGACGGTGTGGGTCTCCGAAAGGATTCTGCTCGTGTGGTTCAAATGCAAAGAGTACGATCACACTACCCCGTAGGACAAAGTGGTCGTAGACCTTTACAATCGACACAAGCAGGCCGATGGAAGAGCAGATGGAGTTATAGATACGATTAGCCATGGAGGATAGCGGCTTTCACCTACCAACCTCGATGGATAATAATATCTATAACCCAAAAGTTCACGAGATTTCCCCCATTCGATGCATCAGCTCGAATGGGGTTTATTTGATTGTGGGGATCGGTTTCCTACGGGCGCAAGCCCCCGTAGTTAATTACATCTTAGACCTCGATCTAAGAAAACTCTCGATTAAGGATGGTGTATTATTTACTTCTTGATTTGGTGCACAAAAAGAGTTCCTAAGTTCTATTCTAAAGAGTCTCTTCTATTTACCCTTAGTGATGATTAGACATTTTTGAATGGATAAAGATGTGATTAAAATTTTGAATTTAGAAGATCAAAGACCAAATTACTATCATAAGAGAAATGACAGACTCAAAACACGGATGAAGGGAGACACACTGAGGGGTGTACAACCTGGACTTATGCTTGCCTGGAGTGAGCTGCCAGCTACCATCCTAAACACAATCAATCACCTTATATGTATACAATATAGGAAGGCTCTATCCTAGGAAATCAAGGATTCGTAGTTTAAAAGATCTCAATCAGGGACTCTACAATATGCAAAAGGATGCACCTAGCGCCATGTATGATGCATGAAACAGATACGAAATATCCTTAAGTCTACTGATGTAATGCATGTATGTAAGTGAAATACAATGTGAAGTAAGGTGAGTAAAGACAAATGCATGCATGACATCCAGAGTACAGAAAAAGTAAATAAACACATCCTAAGGGTACCCTCCAGGCAAGGTACTCGCACAGAAAATAGTCATAGTCATGCCCACTTCGTGTGGGAAAACAGTGATGCCCAATAGCATAAATAGGTGGCCTACTCTAAAGGCCTAAATGACCCTAATGGTCTCTAAGGCTCACAGAAAAAAAAAGAAAAAAAAAGGGGGGGTATCGTACCCAAAACTAGAAAAGGCCAAAATCCTAGCGATGCCCACTTCGTGTGGGAAAACAATGATGCCCAATGGCACAAGTAGGTGGCCTACTCTACAGGCCTAAATGACCCTAATGGTCTCTAGAGCTCACAGAAGGGGGCAAGCTTTGACCTATAGGGCCAAAGCTTCGTCAGTGAACTAACCTAAGGCTGGCTACCTAAACATGCTAGAATACTTATTAACAAGCAGTGTGTGACGTGAAGCAGTTCCGATATATAATTTAAAAAAAAAATTAACTTTACAAGTTGCAGAAATTATACCTGACTGTATATGGCGCTGCCACTTAAAAGCTTATAAGCAAATGGTGTCGCTCGCTCCTCGATCATTAAGCTCCGATGTACCTCACAAAATAAGATAACAGAAAAATAGATATATGAGCGTAGATGCCATTCAGAAAAGAAATGTAGGTAAATATAAAAGAATATAACTGGCAGGAAATTTAAAGTTTGCAATTATAGAACATATAACACTGATTAGATGGTTAGTTGATTATTAGCGGATTAAGAAGAACTAAACCTAGGAAAGCGTGTCACTAAGTTTTTGTTTTAATGTCTCTATCATATAAGGAGCATGCACCCTAAAGTCTATGTTTTCTAAGACTCGATCCTTAATTTTTGTCCTTAAGTGTCACTAAAGTCGTAGGATTAAAAGAGGTTTTGTTTTCTAACCCTTAGGACTTTCGTACATGTGTCACTATGTTTAGGGATTTACGCATGAAAATACGATACTAAGTAACAAAATAGTAGGAAAGCAAGAAGTAAAGAAAAAGAATGAGAAAACACGATAGAAAGAAAAGAATAAAAATCAGAAAGAAAAGGAATATAGGTATTGTTGTTTTAAACATACTTCTTTGAAGCCAAGTGTGTCTTTAAAATAGTCTCCTCCCCGATTCGATATAATATGAATGGGAAGGAAGGCATTTACAATGCCCTTTACTGTTCCCACAATCCCAACTCAACACTTGATACGTACCCGACTCGACTACACAAACTATTCTCAAAAACAAACTCAAGGCAACAGGGGAAATTCCAATTCCTAAAACTAGAACTAAAACAATATCTCTTTCTATCCCCCACGTTCTTCCAACCTTACATTTTAGAGGCAAACACTAATGAAAAAAAAAAAAGATAACTTATGCAAGATAAATCATTTCATCCCAAAAAGAAAGATCTAGAGAAATTTCTAACAAAAATCCACCTCACTAAGCTCTCGACCCCAAAGAAATATCTTATGAAACTTCTCTAAAAAAAATGAAATAAGACATAAAGCCCCTTAACGAAAAGAAACCAAAACACCAAAACTCCTTTTGACACAAAATCAATCAAGTGCTTTTCAAGTTTGGCGTGAGGTTAACATGTGGAAGTTCCTCAATGAATAGGCATTATAATGCCCTCCATCAAGAGACTTTCACGAAACAAAATCACAAAATTTCTCAACGCAAGACAATTAATGAAACTTTAACATAAAGCCATTTATAAATATTTCCAATTATGAAGCAAATCACAAGTCTTCATGATATAAAACAAATCATAAATCTTTCCAATATAAAACAAGTCTAAAGCCAATCATAAATCTTTTAACATAAGAAAACCAAAGTCTTTCCCAACATTGGGCAACCCATAAAACTTTCATATGATGCGAACTCATCAATAATTTACATACATAAACTTTCACGATTCATATAACCAATTTAGTAAGAAAGCACCCAAGTATATATACAGAAAAGAGAACCAGAGGAATGCTTATACTAATGAAGTCACAAAGACAACAATATAATACACTACATGAAGCGCATGCCAAAATTGTCTTTCTCAAATCTACCATGGTTGTGACCATTAAGTAATATACATTAAAAAAAGAAGAAGAATAAAGTTATACTTTTCCAAAATCAAGTGATGAACAAATATTTCAATTTAACTTGTAATCATAAGGAAGAAAGCTAGATACTATGTCACTCTTTATAATATCCTAGAAAAACAGCTAACATGAAGCGAAGTCACAAATCTTTTAATGTAACATAAATCATAGAAGCCTTTAAGTCACAAAATGATTCATGAAATCCCTTGACAAATTCTTATTTTTTATGTTACATGCCACCAGACATCCAAGAGAGCACAGAGAAATCTCGCCATTTTATTTCAACACTTCTTGAACCAAATACAAATAAGAAGAGAGAGATTTTGGAGCTAATCCACTTCTCTAAAATGTTAAAAAAAACAATGCCCCAATCACAATATGAATCACTTTCCAACAACTTCCCCTTGATGCAAAATATTATTTTCGTTTTCATTTCTCCAATCACCACATGAGACATCATAAACTATTCCACCTTCATTTTCATTCCAATGGGTCACAAACGTACACAATAGGTTTTGCAACTACTTCCAAATTTTCTCCTTAAACACTTATGAAACTCACCAAAAGATGAAGTTTGATAGCGTCATTGCATTAAATTCGTACATACAACTTTCATACAAAACATAAAACCGATGGGTGCCTTCCAATATCTAAACCCAAAAGATACTCTCCAACATGGCGTACTCTACAAAACTCTCCAACCATAAGAGAACTTAATAGGATTTTTGGCATAAAACAAGTCATAGAATTTCCATCTCAAAAGTAACTCATGAAATTATTTTAACATAATGAGATAGATGAAAACTATGTATATTTTTAGAGCGAAAACTCAAAGCCATGCCTTTCCGAATCAAGTAGTAAACAAACAACTTATTTGACATTAAACTTCAGCCAAAATGCAATTGTGAAAAAGAAGTTTTGATACAAATTTATTCTCTCAAAATTCAACAAAAGAGGTATTATCATGTAATTGCCCACATGCTTTTCATATAAGGCTCCAATGAGTAAAGACGAACCTAGAAAACGTTTATATTCCATCCTATCGCTATCCTCCAAGTGAAATTGGAAGTAGAAGTGTAACTCAAGGCCATTTCATCTCTTTTCGAAATTCAAGGAGATACTTCCACCAACAAAGAGTAAAACTACGCTTAAAGCTATAAAAAAAACTCATATTTGAAGATCATGAACATTCCCTAACACCTCTAAACTTATGCATGCCCACCAAAAGTGTAGGAATAAGCACAACACTCTCCGACATTTCTCCAAAAATACTTTATGAAAGACTTACGGATAGTCATCACTTCTTTCCAAATTATATAACCACTAACATTGTCAATGTCTGGAAGGGTTATTGAAATTTTCTCATATGTGAATGTAGTATGCATCAAAATATAAATCATCCTTCAACACATATTATAAAACCAATGCAATTCCAATAGCACCAACAACTTCTCTTTAACACCGCTGCGAGAGAGTATATAAATCTCTTTTTTTTACCTCTACAAAAAGAAACCATATCTCAACTATAGTCATCTCACCGCAAACAATAACAGAGGAAGATAACCAAATTTTATTCAACCCACACCATGGGCATCCATATAACATCTAAAGCATGGACATGATCGTGAACAAGAAAGAGACTCATATTTATGTAGCAAAAATTAGAGAAATCATTCAATGAGCATATAGGAAAGAAATGAAATTATAAGTCACCATCATCTCATCTCCAGACAAAAGATCAAAGTAAAATAGATCTAAAACTTCGATCTATAATGCTCTCTTTTTGAAGAAATAGGCTGAGTATAAGAGAATGTAGGAGAAGAAGAAGAAGAGTAAATGAAAGAGGTATACATGCCTAAATCGTCGTCGGGACTTGGCGTTGGGCTCGGTTAGGGTAAGAGACGAAGAAGCAGGAGGTCATCGGCTCTAGCATGGGAGGAGCGACGGGAATTTAAGGTATCGGCCTTGGCGTCGGGTCGGAGGGAGAGCAGGCGGCGGGAACTCGGGCTCGGCTGGGGAGGCGGAGCCGGATCGTCGGGTCTGACTCTGGGCATGCGAATCCGGCAGAGCCAGGGGGCTCGGTGTCGGGTCTTGTCTGAACCCAGAGGAGACGGGAGAAGAGGGGATCCGGGTGGCTGCCTTGCGAACCTAGAGAAGGGTTCGCCTGGGCTTCTCACGAACCGGGAGAGAACGAGAGAGGGAGGTCGGAATAGAGAAGGAGTTTCGTGCCTTGGCTTCTCTGGGCTCTGCGAACTAACGGGGGGGCTGGGCGTGAGATGGAGGCTTCGGCCTTAGTTAGTGCACGAGAGGGAGAGAGGGGAGATTCGAGCCGTCCGATCAAATTTTTTTTGATCCAACGATGCGATTCAAATTGGCTTAGAGAAAATATTAATGTTTTGATTAGGATTTAGCTACACTCAAGGGAAAAAAACAGGTTCAGACTGAGACATGTTTGGTTCACTCTGGGTCACCTCGAACTCGCCTCGACTCGACCAAAAATTAATTCAATAAAATAAAATAAAATAAATCGGACCTGAATCAATGCCGATGCGATTTGAATTAAGCCTGACGAGGCCCGATAAACTCGCTCGAACGTGCTCGAAGGAAAATCAAGACAAAAAACGAGGTCAACAGACGGCCTGTATCGTCATCTTCCGAATCTACCGCCATTGTTCCATGGTGCAGATTCTCTTCTTCATCTGACTCAGACGAAGCCGGGGAACCTGTTTGCGGCGTCCTCCATTATCGTTTTTCTTCCATTCCCCTCCGCCTCTGTGGATGCAATGCAGGTTGAATCTCTCTGTGAACTCGAGGTGGTGGTTGTCTCACCCTTCTGAGATTGAACTCACGGCAAAAGTCTACTGCCAGCTGCCGAACTTCGGCGGTCAGCTCGTCAATCCTCCGATTGACATTTTCCTGGTTTGCCCATAACGAATCGAGAGTTCTCGATTCCTCCGATACCGGTTCCTTGCCCTGATCTGTCATTTACCTTATTTTTGCTCTTATTGTATTTGTGTGCATGGTCATTAGGCTTGTATACATCATACAGGACTTGACTAAAAAAATTAAAAACAAATAAATGAAAAATATAGACTCATTTGACATAACCTATTCCACCTAATTTTGAGCCTTGAATCTTTAAAGAATAGTGCATGGTATACCTAAAATGTTAGTCAACAAATAAATAAACATGATCTACAAATACCAGGAGAAATAAAGAGGCAATAAATAATATTTATTATCATCAAAATTATAAACTCGGGAGCTAGAGTTGCAACACACGTATCCACCATCAGTTCCATATGAAATAAATAAATTTGTTGTATTAATTACGCCAGTAGAGATAAAAAGTGTCTATCCAAAAAAATGTTTGTCGTTTAAAGGAGAAAAGGTCGATGCAATTTAGTTGTAATGGATGTGAGCTAAAAGGGTTTAACCGAACTAGAGATATCAAAAAATAACCTAATTTAAACGAAAGTAAAAAAATTCATGTTCATGTTGACACATTAAACAAATGGACCGGGTTTGTGTTAGGAGTTCCGACTCGTTTATTAAATGAGTTGGATTTGAGTTGACTCTAAACATGTTGGATTCGAGTTGACTCACCAACTTGATTTAGACCCAAAATGATATATTTATTTTTTAAAAAAAAATTTTATTTGTTGGTATGATTCCTTATTTTTTATTAATTAATTTAATATATTGTTAAAAATATATAGAATTTTATTTTAAAAAACATCAAAATGGATTATTGAAAAGGTTCCAGTCATTCAGGCTATTAGCAGGTCGGGTCGGAGTCTGCATTTTTGACCCATTTATCAAATATGTCAAGTTTGGGTTAACTAAATTAAGGTTGGGTCAATTTTGTGTCTAGCCCAATTTCGACCTCTTGACCTATTTTGATACCCCTAGATCAACTACTTATAAATCCCAGTGTGAGCTGCCATCATGGTAGCTTTTACTTTAATTTTCTTGTCATAGTTGTAATAGTATCAGGGGCGGAACTATAGTGTGCTTAGGGGGGGCAATTGCTTTAAAATCTCAATATAAATTTCAAAGTTAAGCGTGATTATACATGCGCATTTCTTGAATGGACGATCTTCTTGAAAGTTATACCAAAGATATAAAACCGTGAGGTCATTAGGCTAAAGCATATAATATCTTAATAGTTTAGAGTTTGAGCTATTAGAAATGACATGAAAGAAATTGACCAGCTAGAAGATAGAAACTAACTGCTCCTATTCATCTCAGTGGATGATTATGGGTGAAGGAAAACTGATGAAGGCATTACTTATCTAAGTGGGGGAGGTTGTGAACTCCCTTATAAAAATAAAGTTAAACTTTTAAACATCAATGCCCATTTTAGGATAACGGTTGAAATTTTAGTAGAAACTTCTAAGTTAAGCTCGCTTATGCAATAACATTTTAAGGATGAGCGACCTCCTAGAAATTATATCAAAGATATAATGTTGTGATATCATTAGGTCAAATCGGACAACATCTTAATAGATAGAAGTTTGGAGTCGTATTTGAACCTAGTTCGAAGCCTGCTTAAGCCCTGCTTGAGGTGTAATTGTACATTGTTCTAATATTGCTCTTATATTTATAGATTTATGTTAGAAGCTTTGTAGAACTTGGTTTCAAAAATTTTTTTGAACCTCCATTTGAATATTGTTATGATCATAATCTGATTAGAAATTAACTTCAATGAATAATCTATGAAATAAAAAAAATTAGCTTGAGGTATATGTTTTCAAAATAAATTATTATTACTATTATGACTTATGAGCATAAAAATTTAATTTTTTTTTAATTATTCTTAAAAATTTAAACCAATTAAAATAAACTCAAATACATGACACATACTTAAGAGTTAAGAAAGCAGAACTCAATGAAAAAAAAATATAAAAAAAAAATCTAAGGGGCTGTTTGGAAGCAAGTGGGATTTAACATTAATGGGATTTAGTAAATCCTGTAAATCCGGATTTAGTAAATTCGAAATGTGTTAAATCCTGAAAACTGTTTGGTATGCCAAATGTTAAATCCTATTAAATCCTGAGAAACTGTTTGATAACATATTTCAGGATTTAAAGCAGTTAGGGATTTAAGTGTGAAGAAGATAATTATTATTTAAAAATAAATTTATAATTAAAAATAAAAAATATAAATTGTTATAAATTTAATAATATGTTAAGTACAAATTACTCATTAATTATTATTTATACAATTAATTATATATTTAATAGTAGATATATTAAGTTATATTAATTAATCTAATTATTTTAA